TATCAAATGCAACAACAATAAAAAAAAGCTTCTTTTTTTTTAACAACTATACTTCTATCAAGACTGCAAGTCTTCTTTCAATTAATATTTTAAGTTATTTATTTTATAAATAAAAGTTCAGCTAAATAAAATTTTTGTTTATACCACTTTCCTTTGATTAGTTTTGTTAGGCTTTTAGGCAAAGGAACCTAAGTTTTTTCCGACACACACAAAACAGGAAAGCCACTAAAAATTTAAATAAATGCAACAACATATTGCTTACTTTGAACATATTACCAAGTGACAAAAAAAGATTCACGTTAAAGTAATTTAGAGTTTGCTCTTAAACACTAAAAAGTGGTCGTTCCTGGTATATTTATCTTCATCAAGTTAATTAAGATTATTACGTTTATTGACTTTAAACGTGAATTTCTTATTACGTTTATTGACTTTAAACGTGAATTTCTTACTATGTTTATTGACTTTATTGACTAATCGTGCAAGCTTAAGCTTATTAACGAAAATAGACGTAACTTAATAGATAGCTTTGGTTAATTTAAAACGTCAAAAAAATAATAGCAGATTTTTTTTTTTATTTATTATTTTTTTTTTTTTTAAAAGAACAGAGTTACAAAAATTTTATACTTTGACTAAAAGTTCAACAAAATAAAGTTCCAAGTTCTTTGATGGCCATACTGGGTTTTTTAGAACAAACATAAAATATCCTAATATTGTTTACAATCACAAGTCAAATGTCTAAAATCTTTTTTTGTTATTATTGTCTTTTTATTAAAGATGGCAAATATTAAAAGTTTGAGGAATGTATCAACACTTTTCCGGTAAATTTGGTTTTAAAAAAGTCATAAAGAAATCAAAAAAACAAGAAGTTAATGCAGTGTGTGTAGTAGGGTTTCCCAAATTTACACTTTTTATAAATTTTTATATGCACACAGTTTTTCCCCATTCTTTAGTGTCCCCTGATTGCAAATTTAAATAAAAAAGTATTTTCGGACCTCAATTTCCGCAATATGCAAAATTACATTTTTTGTTAGGAGCCAAAATTTTATACATTTATATCCACATACAAATTCATGAATCTTGATAGATTAATATCTTCAAGATTCATACCAGGTTTATTGCAAATGGCAGCTACTAATGAAGTTTGTGGGCATATACCTACTCTGTATTGGCAGAAACTGCAGCAGTATATGAATAAAAAGAAACCTCGAATTTATTGGATTTTACTGCATTAGAAGATAAACTGTTTACCTCTAGCCTCCTCTATCCTCTTTAGCCGAATATTTTTATTTTTAACTAAATTTTGTAATACTTTTTAATTATTTTAGTTTAGGTGCCCCAAGAAGTTCCTACGGTCTTAACACAGAGCACCGCGGATAAGCATTTAAAAAAAGTTCATACCTCGTTCTTTACCTATGTTATAAAATTTGCCCAGAGGTGGCGTTGAACCACGAATTGCTTGCTTTTGAGGCAATATAGAATTTTGGCATTCTCAGAACAAAAACGCCCCTGATTTATTTTTTAGAACAGAGGTGGCGTTGAACCACGGATCTCTTGCTTTTGAGGCAATATAGAATTTTGGCATTCTCAGAACAAAAAAACGCCCCTTATTTATTTTTTAGAACAAATAATAATTTTTTTTTAACTATTTGTTCTACCTGGAAGATTTTAGAAACTAGATCTAGTGTCTTTTTGAGCTGGCAACCATCAAAAATATTCTTTTAGAATATTTTTGATGGTTGCCAGCTCGTTTATTGGAAGCTCATTGATTGTGTACTTTAGGAGAAATAGCAGCCTCAATTGGATTCAAAGTTTAAAAAATTTAAGAAATTTAACTCTACTGTGCTCCTATAAAAATTAAATTTTATTATTCAATTTTCAAGAAAATGTATGTATATTGAAGATATTCATAACTATATATATATATGAAAAATTAGTTTATATACTATTAAAAAACAGTTTCTAATTATTAACATTAGGAGTTAAAATCAAAATAATAAGCAAAAATCAGTTAAAACAAAACAGAAAACACAAAGATTGTTTAACTAGTCATTACTATCGATCCACTCTGTGAATCAGGTTTCAATGAACCTTTTGTACCAAATATGGACTGATTGACATTATAAATCTTATAACAAGACATTTCCAGAAGTTTCAAAATTGGTTGAAACATCTGGAAATAACTTTAAAAAATAAGAGCTATATTAAAACGCTTTAAGTATTTTACAAGCCACGCTCATTCGTCAACGCTCAAACATTTTACAGACCTAAAGCTCGTCATTCTAAACTAGCTAAGGAGATTAGGAAATAGCAGTTTTATGTTTAAAATTATATCTAAATGCAATTGTTTTAAACAATTTACAAAATGGTTAAAGTAACATATGCATAAGTTACTGGATTATGCTAGTTATAATAACTATCCCGTTAATAGTTTATTTTCAATCATTAAAGTTTCACAAAATTTTGTGAGTGATTTTTTTAAGTCTATTACTGGTTTAATAGGTTTTTTTACTTTGTTTTAACAACGTCGCAGCGGGCACAGACGTCTTAAGGACGTCTTGATTAGGTCGCGACGTCTCAGACCAAAATAAGACTTCCTAAAGACGTCCGGTGAAGACGTCTTTATTAGGATGTCCTAATGATGTCTACATTAAACCGTTATTAGGACTTCCATATTTAGACGTCCTAATAACGTCTTAATTTAGAAATAAGTCGTCCAAAAGTCGACGTTTTAAGGACGTCTTCAAACAAATTTAATAGAGTAAAACCAGTTTTTTTAAGTTTTTTATTTTTCTTTTTTTTTTTTCTTTTTTCTTTTATTAGATAGGTAATAAAACTACATAAGAAAATATAAATATATATGTTAAAAAAATAATAATAAAATTATCGAAAATATTAAATGTAAAGAAAAAAAAATTGTGCGGTTTTAGGCGACATTCTAATAAAACTGCACTCTTGAGAAAACATTGAATTTTTTAAATTTTAATTTTTTTTATCATTTTTTTTAGCACAAACTTTATTTAATAAACTATATTAAAGTTTTTACATTTTTTGCAACAAAAAATTTAGTTACAACTACACATTTCTTTGGTAAACATGTTTCTTTGCACAACCGTTCCCGACACATCGAATTCTCGCTTTGCAACTCGCTTGCAGGCATTTGAGTACTTGACATAGAGAGTTTACGTTTTGCGTTAAGTTTAGCAACTTTCACGGCTGCCTTCGTTACTTTTTCTTCATCATTTTGTTTGAAAAAATCGATTAATTTTTGGCTTGTATATTTTCTTTGGTAATAAATTTTCCGCCAGGTTTTGACGTGTTGCACTACTTTGATTTCTTAACATGCAATTGATTCTGGCTTGAAAAAATTGCTTTAAATCTCGATACTGTTTTTGCAACGCTCAACACATGCTTGATGCCTATCAAAACTTGAAGCTAGTGCAGTTGAGAAAGATGGTAATCGGTGTGTAATTAGAGTGGGTGCTGCGGCGGCTGTTGAAGATGTTTAAGCTGTGTCTGAGCAAGATGGTGTAGGTGCTGCGGAGGCTGCTAAAGTTGATGAAGGTGAATTGAATTGTGTGATTACTAATGTCTTATGATTTATGTTGTTTTTATTAAGTGGAAATAAGCCAGTGTACTGGAAACCAGCGATTGCATGCAAACGTGTAGAACATTAGCACTAAGTTAATTAGATAAAGATAGGTGCTTAGTCACTTGCGAAAAACTAAACTAAGTAATTATTCGAGTGTGCGGTTTTATCAGAAAAAAGAGTTTTATTTACTTTTTTTATTTTTTATTTAACTTTTTGTTCTAGCTGCATAAAAATTATACTATCAGAATTAAAATTAAATTTCCAACAAGATAGTTTTCTTCCAACAAGTTCTAACAAGATAGTTTTTTTCCAACAAGTTCTAAAATTATTTTTTTTTGCTTAAATTATTTTTTATATCAGTTTCGGTTCAAGCACTATTTTGTTAGCAACGATAAAAAATATATAAAAAACTTTGACTCCCCGTTAAAGTTGTATAAAAAAGAAAAAAAATGGAGTTAAATTGGTATATAATTTTATCAATTCGAATAGAGGAGATAGTTCTGTATTTGAATCTATTTTTTATTTTTTTAATAGTCATATCCGTTTAGTTTTTATTTGATAATTTCGATAAGTATGCGAAACGATATGGTGTGCGGTTTGACCCGGTTTTACTCTATTGAGTAGATAAACTTAGCGCATAAAATATTAAGGTGAGTTTTCACTCATTCGTTTTTTCACGGGAACGGGAAAGGGAAGGGAAAAATAATGACGTAAGCATGCGTATTATAAGTTTTAATTTGTCCGAAGTAAAACTACGCATGCTTACGTGATTATTTTTCCCTTTCCTATCCCGTTCCCATAGAAAAACGGATGAATGGAAACTCACCTTTATGCGCTAAATCGATTAATTAAAAATGTCTGCTTGTTTTGATTGATTATTAATTTTGGTTGGTTATTTATTGTTTAAGGTTATTTTCCAAATTACTATACAATTTTTAAATAAAAGAAAAATGAGGTTAGTTAATAAGTGTAAATAAGTTGCCTGTATGGTGAAGTAATTTTGATAAAAGATACAAAGTGAATTGTTGCAACATGACATTTTATTTTGTACTTTATAAAATAATAATGATATTTTTATTGGTTATTGTTGTGGTGTTGTTTTTCCATTACAAATTATTACTTATGTTGATACCGAGTCTTGATCCTGTGTTGTTTTATTTAATTTGATGGTTGTTCCATTATGGGTTATATATATAATTATTCAGTTTATTACTTATGTTGATACTGAGGTCTTGTTTCTGTGTTGTTTCATTTAATTTAATGATTGTTCCATCGTGGGTTGTATATAAAATTATTTATATATACATTATGTATATACATTATGTTTTAGTTTTGATTTAAAATATTTAAACAAATAAAAAAAATATTTTTAAGAACTATATTTAAGAATACATTTTTTTTTCTATTCTAGATATCCATCTAGCTCTTGGCAGCGTTTTAAACAAACCACTACGCGTTCTCAGGCACTTATAAAATGTCTATCAATGCATCCGCTTTTTTAATCCGCTTACGAAGTACATCGAATTATAGATAGTTTGTCCTTGTATACAATATTCTTTAGGCATTTCCAAAGGAAGAAGTCCGAATAAGAAACGTTGGGAGAAAGAGCTTATGGCAGTTTAGCGTGAATTGGCTTTTGTTTGACGAAATAATTTTGTTAAGCAAATTGGAGTTTTCTTCGAATTTTGAAAACATGATATCACAAAACTTCATTCTTTTGACGAAATTATTTTCACATAGCTTTGAATTATCATTTTACTTGACTTAATGGTTAAAAGCTTATTTCTTGAATAGCATTACAATTACTGCTCGTACTCATCCCCATCTTGATAACACCCATTCAAATTGACAAATTATCGGTTTCTTTGATCATTTCTCTAACTTTTTGAACCTCTGTGATAATAGAATGAGAGCAGACGAATCTTTCTTGATCGTAAATACTGCATGTCCACTGCCCGTCCTCCTAAACTTATTAATTAAATTTCGTGAATACTGCCTGTCCTCCTAAACTTTTTAATTAAATTTTAAATTGTTTTCTAATGTGGTGGTAAAGTAGTAAAATAATTTTTTTTTCTTGAAAATTTTTAAACTTTGCAAAGAAAAAAACAATTAATGAATTCTCTCTTCAATCCAAATTCGTCAAGTCTATATCTATATCTAATTTAATATTTATATATTAAATAAATTTTTAATAAACACATTATGATAATTATTAGTTTATTATGATAGTTTGGAGCAATTTTAAATCAAAAGCACGCACATAACTTATGAAACACCTTGTATAGTGTCTCACACAAAATATGTTTTTATAATATCTAAAGCAATTTTATCAAATATGTAAAAGTTATAATAATAATAATAATAATAGTTTAAAATTGAAAAGATTTCAAAAATTCAAAAAATTATAAGAATTCAAAATTCGAAAAGTTATAAGAGTTCAGTATTAAAAAATTAGCAAGAATTAAATTTTAAAAATTAATAAAACCTATAATTAAAAAATGATAAGAATTTAAAATTAAAAATAAAATTTAAATTCATTTTTTTATTTTCATTTTTTTACAGTAAAAATAAAGTATATATAATTATAGAGATTATAATTTTCAAATCTTATAACTTATTATTATTAATTTACTTCCTTATAATTGTAATACTTACTATGATGTAGGTAAGGCTAACAAAATAAAATATACTTTATGTCATAATTTCTTAAGAATTATCACTTCATAAATTATTTTAGAACTAATCCTTAATTTTCTCATTATTTAAAAGTTTTAGAGGTTTTTTTTAAATGACCAAAAATTATTTTGATACCTGATCATCTTTATACATTCGATACATAATAGTTATTTATAATTTTGCTAAACCCTATTGTTTTCGGTTGAACATATTTATAACTCGAATATTTGGTAAGGTATTTGTGTTGAATTTTATTAGATAATGGTTTAAAAACTTTTAGTAATGTATTTTTATTAATTTTATACATAAAATTTATATCTTGATATAAGTTTGCTTAGTAAATAGTTTTTTAAACAATGGTTTTAAATGTGAATTTTGTACGTTTGATAATAACCTAATTGCATGTTTTTATTTGTTAAATAGATTTTTTGTCTTTATTATATACTATATTGGTGCTGCGCCAAGCATAAAAATGCTATTTCCTAATCTCCTTAGCTAATTTAGTTAGCACGAGCTTTAAGTCTAGCATAATTAAAATAGGAATGAGTTAACAAGAAATATAAAATATATATTTTTTTAAATATATATTTTACATTTCTTGTTGATGACCTGAGAAAGGTTTTGCTTTATAAATAAAATCAATTTTTTTTGAATTATTTTTTTCAATCAGCTGCAGTGACAGCATTTGCCAGCGGTGACGCAGTGGTTAGAGTTCTGGCTCAGAACCAAGAGAATCATGGTTCGATACCGGCTTTAGCCCAATAAGCGACATTGGAAGGGGAGGAGGTTCAATGCTCCTCCGTGGTGCTTTGTGTTAAGATTGATTCTTGGAGTTGGAGATCTTAATAACCACCTAAAAATACTTATGTGATCTTTCCGGGTGATATTTTTCATTGAAAATTACAACTAAGAATTTCATTGAAAAATGTTTTAAAGGTGCTAAAAGGATTTTATCTCTATAATGAAGGCAATAAAAAAACTCCTGAATAAGCTAGTTTTCCTCTCTACATAATTCAATAGTGACACCTTCTCTTCTAAGAAACGTTATTTAAATTTTTCTCTAAGATATTGAAGCCACATATTTTCCTCTAGAATATGATAACTTCACTTATTTCTTTAAAATATGATAACTACTTTTTTCTTTAAGAAATAAAAATAAAATTTATACGGTTATTTAGATAACAGTTTATCAAAAAATAAAATTATTCAAAATTGACAAGACTGGCCCTTTGTCTTATCAATTTTGGCGCCCTGGGCTATTAATCAATTAACGCCCTAAGGGCGTTCATTGATTAATAGCTCAGGGCGCCAAAATTGACATTAAAACACTTTAATAATATTTTTTAAGACATTAAAACACTTTAATAATATTTTTTAATACGTGTTGCAGTTGCAAATAAAATTATTTTGCAAAATGAAGTTTTCGTTAACCTATATTTCATTTTTAGTCAAAATACATGGAGTTTAAGATTAACAATAATAGTGATGGCAATCCCTAATATTTTTTTATGATAAGAAGTAAAACAAACCATCAATATATATATATATATATATATATATATATATATATATATATAATATATATATATATATATATATATATATATATATATATATATATATATATATATATATATATATATTCTTAGGTCAATAAATTCAATTTTATTTGCACTACAATATAAAACATATCAAAATAGAATAAAAAGAATTTATAATAATAAAAAAATTCAAGTTAGGAATTGTTTATTCGATATTTAAATTAATGAGTGTTTAAATGAAAGTTTAACTAGGTCTTGCTCGTTTATTACATTTGTATGTTTGATATAAAATTCCAGTGTTGCTATATGCATGAAAAGTGCGAGCGCGAGGCACGAACACTACCTCGCCTAGTCAAAAGTCCGACTCGGGGTGTGCATTCATCTTTTCAAAACTTTATTAGATTTATAAAATTCCTCATCTTTACGTTTGAGGCACCCTTAAGTTACGGCACTCTTACGCTATAGCCCAAACAGCCCATAGCTTTAGTATGGCCATGTAACTAGCCCACATTTTTAAAAAAGAAAATCTATTTTTACACTTATTTAAACTTTGAATGATTTTTTTATTGATATTTTTACTTAGAAATTTTTAATCATAATTCTACTTAGAATTTTTTTACTGATTGATAATTTGATTTCATTTAGGTACTTGATTAGTAAGTCCGAATTTTAAATGTCTCAAGCACCGCCTAAAGATTTTATCTACATAAAATATTAATTTTTTCAACTGACATGAACAAAATACGAAAAATAAAAAAATATTACCAAAGCACTATATAGGTACACATCATATGTGTACGTTAGTACACATACGGTGTGTACCTATAAAATAATTACTAAACTTGGGTGTTAGCAAAGAAACAAATTGGGTGTGCATTTATCTTATTACTCCAAATATAAGTATGTCTATTTATAACGCTCACAATTTAAGTCACGTGTAATCATTAGTCTTTCTAGTGTTCCAAACCTATTAAAAGTTAAACGTGCGTGAAACCTAACGTTTGACTTAAAAAAATAACATAGACATTTTGAGATTTTTAAAACTAATCATATTTATATTAGGTAAAATTTTTATCTTTTCATATAGGATACCAAGGATACAAGTTACAAAGGTAATTAGTAATGTTAAATTGTAACGTTACTTTTTCTTTTATATATTTATATATAAAAGAAAAAGTAATATTATATTCTTTTACATTTAATAGTGAGTTTTTGGAAACATCACCACATTTTATTTTGTTACTAATGCTAAAAAAAATAAGTATTTTGTATTTTTCTATTTTATATATAATTGTGTGTACAAATATGAAATGTAATTTGTGTGTTAAAATGTGTAATTCCATTTTATGTTTTTTATCTTTTAAATGTTATTTTATCTTACAAATGTTATTGTATCTTCTAAATGTTATTTTATCTTCTAAATGTTATTTTATCTTCTTAATGTTATTTTATCTTCTGAAGTTCATCAGTGCAGCTTTTTTGGTATAAAAGATTAGCAAAAAAAATTAGTAAAAAAAATTATATAAACTGATCTCGAAAATAAACTTACGATTAAGTTTTCTAATTTAACATGATGGGTTACAACGATGACGTTAAATTAGAAAAAACGATGTTTTAACAAGTTTAAGATAAACCATGTCTATCGATGCTGAATAATTTAAAAGCGGAGCAATATTGCTCCGCTTTTAAATTTTTATATTTATGTAAAAAAAAATAAAAAATTTTAAAAAAATTTTTTTTAAATAAATATATAAACAGAAGTGAAACAAAAAAGTAAACGCGATTTTAAGAAGATTAAATAATACTTTGTTAAATATCTTTTAAGTGTTCTCTATGATGTTATAGTACTTGGCGAAGAAGCAAATCATGGAAAATCTATCTAAAAAAATATTTTAGTCATGTTATCTCATGAAATATAAATTTTACTTATGTTATCTCATGAAAGATAAACTTTAGTCATGTCATCTTATAAAGACATTTTTTCTTCAATTTCTTAGTCTTGATCTCGACAAATCTAAAATTTATTTTAAAGCTTATTTTTTAAATATAAATTGATGGCACCTATTGCTTCTGGTAATCTGCAACAAGCCCTAACTCAATAGAGTCTATACTAATTTAACATCCGGATCAATTTTTGTACAATCCGAGCTAAGAAAATATAATGATAGAGTATATAAAAAGACACGCCTACACAATAAAATAAATTGCTTATCTACAGGTTGAACTATATTCAGAATGAATATGAACTGAAAGGAGAAATTTTTACAAAAAAATACCATAAAACTACAAGCATAAAGATGAAAAAAAACAAAATTTATAACATAACAAACGTTAATTAATTACTACTTGAAGTAAGTTCGATTGAAAAAACACATTCACATATCAAAATGGTTATTAAAACAATTATGCTTTCCCACATTAAACCTAATATAGGTTACGCGCAAATTGGGCTTTTTACAGCGTAAAATAAAATATTTTGAAACACGCTTTTGATTAAACACGCATTTCTTAAAGAATAAATTTTTTTCTGTTGAAACCCCAAGAAACAGAAAGAGCAAATGAAAGCAATTGAAAAAAAATTGAGAATGAAAAATTTCAATTTATTTGTGGTCATTTATTTCATCCATGTTTAATTGATAGCTGAATCTTTTGATGATGCACGCGAGTTGTTAAATGTTTATGACCTGTTGCCAATAGATCTCGAGTAATTTTGGCGACTGTTTATTTAAAATAAATATCAAAAAATCAAAACAGAAACAAAAACAAAAAAAAAAAGAACATTAAATTAGATTAAAATAGTCAAAAACGAATATATATCCCGTTCGTACTTACA